CGGCCCGGCCCCGGCACCGCCGCCCCCCGCCCGTCACCGCGGCCATCTCCCCTCCAGCCCTCCCCTCTCCCGGACCCCGCAGGCAGCCCCGAGGCTCCGCTCCCCTCCCGCAGGCCTCTGGCGGGAGTCCCTCGGAGCAGCACCGGCAGCCGAGCAGTTCCCCGAGCTCGGGGGCCCGCGAGGGGCCCGGCCTCTCCCCTCACCAGCCCCTCAGCGTCCCGGGCAGCAGCAGCCGCAGGCACGGATGAAGCTTTCAAAAGCAGCAGCGGCTCGGAGGTGTCGGCGCCCCGGAGCGCTTGTCCTGGGGCGGGGGCTGCTCTTCTCTGGGGTCTCACAGCAGCATCCCGCACCCCAGCAGCTCCGCCGGGCTCCATCGGCTGCTCATCGTCCCAGGGGCCGGGCAAGGCCACCAGCAGAAAGGGTGACAGCAGGGACTGGTTTGGAGGGCTGTGGGCATCTGTAGGCAGCTCGCACTCCTAGGACAGCTTGTACTGAGATCTGAATCGTTTCCACTTGCAATGAGACATGATGCCAGTCACGATCAGTCCCAACAGCGAGATCGTGGTCCCCACGGCAATGGCAGGGCCCATGCTGAACGGATCTGCAAAGACAGGAGAAGGACATATAATTGCAGGCAGACTCTGCCCACATCAGCAAATACCCAGGGGTGAGCATGACACCCCCAGCACCGAACGTGGCACTAACACGACTCGCTGCAGCCCAAGCCGAAGGGTGGGGGGGTACAGGAGAAGGGGGCTGCAGACCACCACTCACCATCCAAAACCATCAGCTGCAGGCTGACCGCCTGGGAGCGGTGGCCGAGCAGGATGCACTGGTAGTGGCCCTGGTGCTGGGGCTCGGCGCGGTCCAGGCGCAGCGTGGAGCCACTGCCCGCTGCCTCCTCCCGGTACTGCGAGAGGTTCACGGGGGTCCGCAACCAGCGGACAGTGGCGTTCCCAGCGCACCGCGCGTGGCACTCGATGCTCAGGGCCCTGCCCCGCATCCCATTGGGAGGCAGCGACCAGATCCGCAGGCTGCAGGTGGGCACCGTCCCCGTGGACAGCCCTGTCCCCTTCTCCGCCAGGGGAGAGCCCCAGCTGATGCTGCCCGCAGCCGTCCCCGGCGCCTCAGCTGGGGGACTTGCTGTGCCGAAGCCAGGGAACGTGGTGGTGGCCGGACGCACCGTGGTACTGCCTGCAATGAGGTCGCCAGGAGCAGGGTGCTCTGTGGAGGGGGGTTCGGTGGCAGCAGCCGGCTCCAGGATGGTCTCAGAGTCAGGCTCCCACAGTCGGGTGGTCAGGGCTGTGGTGGGATCATCTGTGGGGATGCTTGGCGCTGGGGACAGCGCTGTGGTGGTCACAGGCCCGGCTGTGCTGGGGCTCCTCGTCGAGGTGGCCATGGCCACCGGCTGCTCTGTCACGGCTGTGAAGACAGCAGGTCACGGGTGGCCTTACCACGGCTCAGAGCTGGGATGGGGCCTCTCTGGCACGCGTTATCCCCATGGGGTGACAACCCCCTCCACCTGCACCACCCCATGGCCCCATCCTCCTCCACCCCACAAACGCGGCCAGCCCTGAGCAGGGAGAGGCAGCGAGCAGAAGCAAATGGGCACCGCCAGCATGGCAGCACGGCCAGGGACAGGGATGGCACAGGAGATTTGCAGAGCGGTGCAGAAATGGGGGCTGCTCCCATTCCAGCAAAGCCATTTCAAGCAGCGCAGGGCAATGGGGGCAGCGGACGGGGCAGCGTGCAAACCCGCGTCCCTAGCTCCCACCCCGGCACTCACCCCCAGCGCTCACGGTCACAGATGCCACCTGGGTGAAGGTCTCCTGTCCGACGCTCAGCGTCACCTCGCACCTGAACTCCATCCCTTCTTCCACCTCCTTCCCAGCCACCGACAGTGTGGACACAATGTCAAACAGCTCCTCGTCGGTCTCTGTGACATCGAAGTCTTCCTCCTCCAGCACTTGGTCCCCCCAGTACCACTTCACCACCAGCCCCATGAGTGGGTACACTCGCTGGGCCGAGCAGTGCAGGCTGGCGGGCTGCCCCGGCTCCAGGTCGCGGGGGGTCGCCTCCAGCTGCAGCGTGTCCGGGAGGGCTGAGAGAGGAATCGCAGTGTCGAGTGGTGATTTTTGGCACTGCTGCCCAGGAGGAAGCGGGCTGCCTCCGGGGATGCAGGACTTTGCCAGGGAGGTGGTGAGGGATGGGCTGGGGGATGCTTACCATAGACCTTCAGGTTGACGCTGTCCTGGTAGTGCTGCCCGTGGCAGGTCCCCTGGCAGATCTTGGTGCCCGCCGTGGCGACCACGGCACTGCTGACGTGCAGGATACTGTGGGTGGGGAAGGAGGTGATGCTCCCCAGGTTGGTGTCCAGCCCCTTCCACTGCACCGCGCCCCCCGTGCAGGCCAGGGAGCAGTTCAGCTGCACCGAGCCCCCGTACCGCACCACTGGCTCCTGCGGCATCACCACCAGCTTGTTAGCGGGTCGCCCTGGGCAGAGGAAGGAGGAAACCGTGGGGTTTAGGGAAGAGGACAATCACCAGAACCCAGTTGTTTACAACGCAAACGGGGAGCTGGTTCCCCCTTTGCTGAGAAGTGGACGGTCACACTCGGACGTTGCAAAAGCTCCTTCCCCATCACCGCGGGGGGGGCACTGCTCATTAGCAACAGCTCATTAAGGGCGGCCGAGGCTTCCCCCGCACTGCTGCTGTCCCGGGGCAGCCGCTCGCAGCCACCCGGCACCAGGAGTGCGTGGAGCTGATGTGCCTGTGGCAATGGCCAGCCCGGGTCTGCCCCGTTGCTGGCATTGCTGCTTCATCCGTCTCTGTTTACCACCAAAGTTTTCCAGCCGTTTCTTGGGGAAATGAGCCCAAACGCCCCTTCCCCCCAGTTCTCATCCTTCACCAGCATCGCTGCTCTTTTGGCAGCGGGAGAGTGAGCCCAGGCCAGGCGCACGCTGTCGCTTGCACGGCGGCGCGCTCCGTGGCCCTGAGCGCCGGGCTGCAGCGCCAGGACGAGGAGCGCTGTAGCAGCAACGCATGTGGGACACGGCGGCCATCGGGGCTCAACGGTGGGGAGACCCTGGGGCCGCGTTGGCCCGCGGTGCCATGTTGCAAAGCAAAGAGAGCAGCAGGCAGGGCCGGGCAGCACGGTGGGTTAAAGGATCGGGACGGCTCTTGGCCCCCGCAGCACTCACCACTGCAGCCCCACAGCAAGCCGAGGAGGAGGAGGAGAGGAGCCAGCTCCATCGTCCGCAGAGCCAACAGCAGGGCAGGACAGCAGCAAGGGATGGTTTTCCTTCCTTCCCTCCTTCCAGAGAGCAAACGCCGCTGGTGGGGGCTGTCTCCTTCTAGCCACCAGCCCGTCCTCAGCCCTTCTTAAGCTTTGCAGGAACCGCCCCCGTGAGCAGCAGCCCCGGGGCCTCTGTGACTTTCCAGCCCAAAGGGTATTTCCAGAGGGAGGTTTCTGATTTTCTTCCAAGTTCAGTCTTGCGCAACATGCAGCTCTGCAGCCAAGGGCCATGCCGGCAGCCCCAAACCCGGGAGAGCCCTTGTTCCAAAGGGTCCCCACGTGGCTGCAGGGGCCCCCATCGCCCCCACTGGGCAGCCCTGCGCAGGCGCCTGCACCCCAAGACGCGGCCGAGATCCCGTCCCTTCCCCAGTTCTCCCCAGGCTCCACCGTTCTCCCACAGAGCCCCTGGCAAACCAGCCATTTTCATGCCCTGAGCACCAAGAGCTGAAATGAACCACCGTGGGGATGGCTGCGGATGCCTGTCTGTTGGAGGGGCTGTCTCAGACCCCAGCCCCAAAAGCAGAGCCAGGGCCCACGTTTAACATCACCGGCAAGCACTGCTGCCTGCGGCCAGCACGCAGGGTGGAGGGAGGGTGGCCTGGGGCTACAGCGTCTGCCCAGGGCACATCCCACCGGGATGCCTGCGGGAGCACGGCCTTAGGAGCGGGCAGCCCCCTCGCAGCCCGGGCAGCGGCACGCAGGCACGTGGGAGCAGCCCAGCCCCGAGCCCCGACTGCCCCGACACGCGGGGTTTGGGAAGGCGCATCCCCAGGGCAGGGGGAGGAGGTGTCCAGCCCCAGGCTTGGGTGCTGCTCAGGCTGCAAACACCATTTATTCCCAGAACAGGGTGTTTTCAAGGATGAAAGCAGGTGTTCCTGGGAGGGTCGGTTTTATGGTATAGAAGGAGAAAGTGCTACCACGTGGAAGACGTTGATTACCCCGCATTATCTAGCCCCAAGGCCCTGGCACAGCCTCAGCGCCTGTCCTCTGTCTCATGGCAGGTCTGGCATCACTTCCTCGCTCCTACCCAGCTCCCTGGGAAGAGTTTCTGCCCCATCCCATCCCGCCGAGCTGCGGCTGGGGCCAGGGAAGGTGCCGAAGGGCCGAGGGACGGGACGTGCCCAGCCTTCCTCCCCCTGTCACAGAAGGTGGAAAGTCAGCGCAGGACCCAGCCCTTTCCCATCTGGGAACCCCCCAGAGAGGCAGCTCCGGGCACTGGGCGCGTCGCGCATCCTTTCGGGAGGCCAGGCAATTAATCCTTTGATGGTCCAGGAGGCCTCTGAGCAAGGGAAGTGCTCTGTAAACAGCTGCCATCAAATATGCACATTCAGCCAAAGCTGGGTGATTAATGGCTCTGGGGTTTTTGTTCCTTCCATCCTGTGTTAACAGAGCCGCTTCCCGGAGTTTCCAGCGACCGCCAGAGCCCCTGGCCCAGCTCTGGTGGGGGACAAATGGTGGCCAGGGCTGCTCCCCACACTGGCCAGGCTCTTCCCAGCAGCGAGCCCAGGATGCCCGAAGACAGGAGGATGCCAGGGTTTCACCTCCCGGTCCTGCAGCCCGCATCCGTGGCGCCTGCTCGGATGCAGGAGGCCGCCCTGCCGGTCCCTGCGTGGGCGATGGGCGAGCCCTGGGAGGGAACGGCCGGGGCTGCGCAGGCTGCACACCCGCAGCGGTGTGCAGAGAGGTTAAGCACCAAGCAATGAGTTACTTCATTAGGGGAAGGATTGCTCCGTAATGTCACCAAGTAAGAGCTTAAAGAAGGGAAAGACCATCCTCACAGACCATGCTCACTGCTACAGGATTTTGGGGCAGGAGGGGCAAAACACAGACAGTTAAAAAAATAAATTATCCAAGCCCAGGAAGCCGCCCTTGGCTGGGGTCTGGTGCAGTTTTCAGCTAGGGCTCCTGCAATGATGGACCAACACCAACAGGTCCCGGGGGATCAGTCCCGGCCTTTCAGTGCCCACCGGCTGCACCGGCTGCCAGGCCCAGGTCTGTCAGGGACCAGACTGACATTCCCGCGAGAGGCAGCTCTCCACGAGCCCTCAGCATCACACCCCAAGCCCCCAGCTGCCCCTCAAAATGGTGCTTCAGGTGAGAAAACAAAACCCCCATAAATCAGTGTCCGAACCAGAGTTGAGCACTTATGGAGCAGGCCTTTCTTTTAAAAAGAAGCTTTCCCAGACCTGTCATCAGGAGATTAATAGCTACCAGAAAGTCCAGCGCCTCGTGATGCACTTCCTCCGGTTCGGGGCTTGCAGAGCACTTGACGCCGCAAGCGCCTGGGAGCTGCCCACCACGCAGGTGGATGGGCAACACGGCTCGCAGAGGAAATCGGACTTATGGAAACCTGATAAAACTTCCAACGCCACGAGGCCCAGCTCTAACGGCACCGTTATTGAGCCAGGGAGAGGCCAGGGGACTCATCCGAGCTCAGAATAACGTGGCAGTGGGCCCCCAAGGCAGCTCTTCCAGGTCTGACCCCACGCTCCCCCTCGCCCCACCTGCAGCAACCCACCGCAGCTCCCATTCCACCATCCGCTCGGGGGCTTCGCTTTAATAGACTCAGAGGATCTTCCCTCCATCCCGGAGGCGCGCACAGGCAGCTCCCCCTGCCTCGAGCACGGCAAAGAAAGATCAACAGGTTGCAGACACAGGGCAGAAAGAGCAAGCTTAGGCACCAGGACAGTTTTCCACTCAACAGGAAACCTTTTGGGTCAGAGCGAAGGGAACGATGGTTTTTGAGAAACAGAAGCCTGAACATTTTTCCTGGAAGCGGATCGTGCTTCCTCCTGAGGGGCAGGGGCCGGGGGCTCTCGCCAGGCAGCGCTCAGTCCAGAGGCATTTCTCAGGAAACAAAACAGTTCAGCGAGGAGAGACAAACCGCAGTGGGACGAGCACTGGCCCCTGGCACAGGATACCCCTGCGCCGCCGCCGGCAGCGCCGGAGCCCCTCGGGCTGGGGCGTAGCCCCGGGCTGTCATCACATCTGACATCCATCATATCAGAAATGACAGGGCTGGAGTAGGTGCTAATGAGGACGACTGGAACAAGATTAAGGTTTTCTGCGTGGTGCAAAACACGGGAATCCCACCCGGGGGAGGCTCGTCCTGCAGACCGGCTCTGCCCCTCACCTGGTGGCACGACCACGGCGTCCCCATCGCAGCGATGTCGGGCTACACACACCGCCCGAATGACCACTGCATCGAGGAGAGGACGGCCAACGACACGCTGTACTGAAATACCTTCCCCTTTTTCTCCAGTGATGCAAACTGGGACAAGCTGATGGTTCCTTTCTCAAATACAGCTGAAAAAAATAAAACTAAGCTCAAGTTCAGAGGAAATAAATACAAAAGGCAAGCTATTGTATAATAGACGGCTTGTGGTTCCAGCTCATTACAGGATATCAGCCATCAAACACCAGGTCCCATCCAAGAGCTGACTTGGATGTGTTTATAATTCTTGGGATTATGTTGTTCACTTAGTACCATCCTCAAACACCAAAATAAGTGTTTAAGTGAGTAAGATAAGATCTAAATTAAGCCTGTCTGGAAATGAAGACAATAGTCTGGGATGCTAAAACCAGCCCTGGGAGGAGGCTCCTGCGGGGCCGGCGCTGGTGCGGGGAGCCAGGAGCCAGGGACCTGGCGCGAGGACCCGCTCCGTGGGCTCGGGCTGGGGGCAGGCAGCCCTGTCCCAGCTTACACAAACCTGCCGGCAAGTCTTCACCTGCTGAAGGCGACAGCTACGGCACTGCCCCACCACGCGCAGCAGACCGCTCACTCCTCCAGAGCCTTTGGCTGCTCCCTGCGTGGCCCGATATTGTACATATTGCCCCGCACAAACTGCCCGAAAACAGCCTCCTCTTGCGCAAGCGCTCGGCCCCCATCCAGGGCGAGCAGCAGGTTTGGGGCTCAGAACGCTTTGTGCCCAAGCACCAGAGAGGCTCGAGCTGTTGAGGTACTGCTATTTTAATACTCCCGTGGAAACCTGGATAGCTACTTTAGGATCGAGGGTGAACATGAATTGGTTCCAAGTACTTTTTGCTCTAGAATACTCTAGTTTTAAGGAATTGGTAGAAATAGCTCAACGACTTGTGCCCATTAGAGACAGGAGGTCGATGCACAAGGCCTGGTGCGTGGTCTCTTGTAACCGTCTCCGAGGGTGGAGAGGCGCCGGGCAGCAGCACGGGGCCAGCTGGGAAAGCTGTAACGCAGGGGGAGAGAAGGATGCGGACAGAGAACTTCAACACAACAGGAAAGCAGCAGTTTAATAAATAATCCATCGGAGGGAGAGATTAGCCAGTTCTAAACACAACCTGAACTGAAATACATTTCATCGTTAGCTTAAAAAAGAGAGATACAGAAACACACGCAATAGTAAACTTTGAGAGCAGAGGTACTGCCATTCTTCAGTGAGCGTGGGCTTGCCGCATGCCCACGCTTTTTAAAGATGTTAGCAGCCATTCAAGTGCAGAGAAAAGAATAAAAACCAGTGAAGTAAAAAGTTATATTTTGCAAAAGTAATGGCAAAAGAGAAAGCAATGGTTTAACGCAGGTTTTTTGATGCAACGAGGTCAGTTTAAACTCACTTGAACTGCTGCCATTAATACTGGAACTGCAGAAGAAGGGCAATTAAGCCAATTTTTGCCTTGTGTTTGGAGCATTGCTGTTACTGACCTGAATTTTAAGTCACTGCAGACAAATTGTGGGAATGGTGATGTTAAACAGCCAGGCTCAGGCACTACACAGCAGATCAAGGGGATTTTAAGAAAAGGCTGTTTTAGAAAAGTTGTGTTTTCATATAAAGTAACAAAAATTGGCAAAACTAGCTGAATGCTCCGTACAGATTTTCCAGTTTCCACATGGGACGCTGAAGAATTACCACCCCTTCAGAATGAGACATTCTTCATTCAGGTCTGGTAATTTCAGCTCCGTCACCGCCCGGCCCCAGTCCTC